AAAAAAATTAGGCTTTAGGAATAGCTTTCCAAATAAACTTTGTAGATGCTAAGAATATTTTTTTCCAGAATTATACTTTATCCATCAAAAATGTTATTGAGTGTGTTATTTTGGAGGGAATTACTAGCATTCACTTCCTATGAGTAAGTTATTAGGAGTACCTCTCCCTGACTAATTCTTATTTGATTTTTTTTTCTTGTGGTAAAAAAAAATCAAATAAGAATTAGTCAGGGAGAGGTACTCCTAATAACTTACTCACTGATCATTTCTGGGTACAGAATCAGCATCCTATTGCATTTTCTTATTCTCTATAGCCAGGTCTTCTTTCTGTCTACTTAGAATCTCTGTCTAGAGGAACTGGAGCCTAAATGGCACTACCTTGATCACTCAGGTCACCTATGTGTTTATTCCTTCAAATGTGAAGAATGCAATACAATCAATCTAACTTCTAGATGTCATGTTAAAGAGCGCTTAATTTTCTTTCAGCCTGGACCTCAGAACTTCTTAAGACATTTGTTTATACTAAAAGAAATATGTCAAAGCTTAATAAAAAACTAAGACACAGTGAGTGGTTTCACGTGTTCTTACCGATGTTTGAAGTTTCTTCAGCAAAGGCAAACAATACTTTACATTCCAGATTTAAAGGGAAAGTGTAAAATGCAAATGCTCTGGAAAAGGTAACCTACTGACAGATTTATATTAGTACTATTAACTGGCAAGTATATATATTGTCTGTCTAAAGTGATAAGAAAGGCTCCTAATCTGTGTGTAAGGTGGGAAGGAAAGGGAAAGAATAGGAAGAAAGATGAATATCCTAAAAGAAAAATTATACTCATAATGTAATTTATGGTGGGGACCAGTGTTGAGGGAAACTGCAGTAGATTTAATTCTTCATCTATTTTGGGCATATGGTTATAGCTGTTCAATTTACATGTTATCTTATGGATGCTTTAAAATTCTTATTTTAAAGTAGGCTATATATATGTATGCATTAATAAAAACTAATCTAGATTTACCAT